GTAAAAAGTAGAAGAGCTGGATTATTGTGATTTATACAATTAGGTGAGGACAACCAAGAGGCCCTGATTTGAATATAGAATAGAACCAAAACACAGTTAGCTAATTGAAAGGACAAAACAGGCTAATGTCCCATTCACTGACATGATATGCACTGAATGTACAAAACATTAGGAACACCTGCTCTTTCCATGACATAGACTGAACAGGTGAATCAAATCAAATCAAATCAAATTGTATTGGCCACATGCGCCGAATACAACAGGTGCAGACATTACAGTGAAATGCTTACTTACAGCCCTTAACCAACAGTGCATTTATTTTTAACAAAAAAGTAAAAATTAAACAACAACAAAAAAAGTGTTGAGAAAAAAAGAGCAGAAGTAAAATAAAATAACAGTAGGGAGGCTATATATACAGGGGGGTGCCGGTGCAGAGTCAATGTGCGGGGGCACCGGCTAGTTGAGGTAGTTGAAGTAATATGTACATGTGGGCAGAGTTAAAGTGACTATGCATAAATAATTAACAGAGTAGCAGCAGCGTAAAAGGATGGGGTGGGGGGGGGGCAGTGCAAATAGTCTGGGTAGCCATGATTAGCTGTTCAGGAGTCTTATGGCTTGGGGGTAGAAGCTGTTGAGAAGTCTTTTGGACCTAGACTTGGCACTCCGGTACCGCTTGCCGTGCGGTAGCAGAGAGAACAGTCTATGACTAGGGTGGCTGGAGTCTTTGACAATTTTGAGGGCTTTCCTCTGACACCGCCTGGTATAGAGGTCCTGGATGGCAGGAAGCTTGGCCCCAGTGATGTACTGGGCCGTATGCACTACCCTCTGTAGTGCCTTGCGGTCGGAGGCCAAGCAGTTGCCATACCAGGCGGTGATGCAACCAGTCAGGATGCTCTCGATGGTGCAGCTGTAGAATTTTTTGAGGTTCTGAGGACCCATGCAAAATCTTTTCAGTCTCCTGAGGGGGAATAGGCTTTGTCGTGCCCTCTTCACGACTGTCTTGGTGTGTTTGGACCATGATAGTTCGTTGGTGATGTGGACACCAAGGAACTTGAAGCTCTCAACCTGTTCCACTACAGCCCCGTCGATGAGAATGGGGGCGTGCTCAGTCCTCTTTTTTTTCCTGTAGTCCACAATCATCTCCTTTGTCTTGGTCACGTTGAGGGAGAGGTTGTTGTCCTGGCACCACACGGCCAAGTCTCTAACCTCCTCCCTATAGGCTGTCTCATCGTTGTCGGTGATCAGGCCTACCACTGTTGCGTCGTCGGCAAACTTAATGATGGTGTTGTAGTCGTGCCTGGCCATGCAGTCATGGGTGAACAGGGGGACTGAGCACGCACCCCTGAGGGGCCCCCGTGTTGAGGATCAGTGTGGCAGATGTGTTGTTACCTACCCTTACCACTTGGGGGCGGCCTGTCAGGAAGTCCAGGATCCAGTTGCAGAGGGAGGTGTTTAGTCCCAGGATCCTTAGCTTAGTGATGAGCTTTGAGGGCACTATGGTGTTGAATGCTGAGCTGTAGTCAATGAATAGCATTCTCACGTATGTGTTCCTCTTGTCCAGGTGGGAAAGGGCAGTGTGGAGTGCAATAGAGATTGCATCATCTGTGGATCTGTTGGGGCGGTATGCAAATTGGAGTGGGTCTAGGGTTTCTGGGATAATGCTGTTGATGTGAGCCATGACCAGCCTTTCGAAGCACTTCATGGCTACAGACGTCAGTGCTACAGGTCGGTAGTCATTTAGGCAGGTTATCTTAGAGTCCTTGGGCACGGGGACTATGGTGGTCTGCTTGAAACATGTTGGTATTACAGACTCAGTCAGGGACATGTTGAAAATGTCAGTGAAGACACTTGCCAGTTGGTCAGCACATGCTCGGAGTACACGTCCTGGTAATCCGTCTGGCCCTGCGGCCTTGTGAATGTTGACCTGCTTAAAAGTCTTACTCACATCGGCTACGGAGAGCGTGATCACATTGTCATCCGGAACAGCTGGTGCTCTCATGCATGCTTCAGTGTTGCTTGCCTCGAAGCGAGCATAGAAGTGGTTTAGCTCGTCTGGAAGTCTTGTGTCACTGGGCAGCTCGCGGCTGTGCTTCCCTTTGTAGTCTGTAATAGTTTTCAAGCCCTGCCACATCCGACGAGCGTCAGAGCCAGTGTAGTACGATTCAATCTTAGTCCTGTATTGACTCTTTGCCTGTTTGATGGTTCGTCGGAGGGCATAGCGGGATTTCTTATAAGCGTCCGGGTTAGAGTCCCGCTCCTTGAAAGCGGCAGCTCTACCCTTTAGCTCAGTGCGGATGTTTCCTGTAATCCATGGCTTCTGGTTGGGGTGAAAGCTATGATATCTTATTGATGTCACTTGTTAAATCCACTTCAGTCAGTGTAGATGAAGGGGAGGAGACAGGTTAAAGAAGGATTTTTTAGCCTTGAGACAATTGAGACATGGACAGTGTATGTGTGCCATTCAGAGGGTGAATGGGCAAGACAAAAGATGTAAGTGCCTTTGAGCGGGGTATGGTAGTAGGTGCCAGGCACACAGGTTTGTGTCAAGAACTGCAACCCTGCTGGGTTTTTCATGCTCATCAGTTTCCCGTATGTATCAGGTAGCTTAGTGGTTAAGAGCGTTGTGCCAGTAACCGAAAGGTCGCTGGTTCTTATCCCTGAGCTGACTAGGTGAAAATCTGTCGATGTGCCCTTGAGCAAGGCACTTAACCCTAATTGCTCCTGTAAGTCACTCTGGATAAGAGCATCTGCTAAATGACTCAAATGTAAATGTATCAAGAATGGTCCACTTCCCAAAGGACATCCAGCCAACTTGACACAACTGTGGGAAGCATTGGAGTCAACATGGGCCAGCATCCCTGTGGAACACTTTTGACACCTTATAGAGTCCATGCCCCAAAGAATTGAGGCTGTTCTGAGGGCAAAAGGGAATGCAACTCGATAGGGCTCCTGAGTGGCGCAGCTGTCTAAGGCACTGCATCTCAGTGCTTGAGGTGATACTACAGATCCCCTGGTTTGATTCCAGGCTGTATCACAACTGGCCGTGATTGGGAGATCGATAGGGCGGCGCACAATTGGCCCGGTGTAGGTCGTCATTGTAAATAAGAATTTGTTCTTAACTGACTTGCCTAGTTAAATAAAGGTAAATTAAAAAATATGGAGGTGTTCCTAATGTTTTGTACACTCAGTGTAGGCCTCACATTATAGCCAGAACAGTTGAAGCAGCCATGAAATTGAAATGAGATGTGTGTCTTTGCGAGCATGGCTGGCTGCTGTAGTGTAGTAGGTGTCTGGGGACAGAGTTTTAGAACCACCACCTGAGTCATTGGTAAACACATTCATTCACTCTGCATCTTATTAATTATCAGTAGCCAGGACCCAGGCACACACTCTTATTGAAGCCTTCCTATGCAGATGATCCTAGTGAGGCACTAATGCACTAAATTCTCTATCTAGATTTAATTCCTAATAGTCATGATAATACTGAAGCTTTCCGTTGCAGATCCTACTGATGTGTTATAACAGATGTAGTTGTACTAGATATAAGTGAAATCCTATGGTTTGTTCCTGATGCACTAGATTCTCTATCTACATTATATTTCTAGATAGTAATCAACTCATGTAGTTTGTACGTCCCTGAGTTCGTTTATATGAGTCATATGATATATTGTACTATACTGGAACTTTCCTAGTATTGCAGTTCCTAATGATGCACTAGAATATCTATTTAGATTCCATTACTAGATTAAATAATGTAGTTTGTACTTTCCTGTACTTGTTTATATGAGTCATATGATGAACTGTATGCATTTTCCAAGACAATATGAGGTTATTGGACACCCCTTCCTCATATCAATAAATAATATTCATTTAAACTCAAAGTCCATTTACACGTGGTTTATACTATAAACATGGATAATATAATAGTATTGTATTATATTCTACATTGTACAGGTAATGAAGCTTAATCCTGACTGACAATGCCACATAGAGGTCACTGACTCAGCCTTGGCATCAATACTCACAGAAGGATAATAATGTTGGGTCAGAGATGGTGCACATCAACCACTAACTTCATTTGCCAGTCCTAAGTGCATAAGGTAATGTGGTCAGGCACAAAGCAATGAACAGGGAGGACAATGTCATTTCCTACTCAGACGTTGTAAAACGTTAAACAACGGCATGGACATTTGGTTTTCGCTGGAGGACCAACATGATTACTGAGCAACTGCTGTTTATGTGAATCAAACAAGTCAGATTGTAGGAAGAGGTGAACTAGTTATCTGATAGGAAGAGGCCTAGGAACCATAGAAGGTCCCCATAGGCACAGATCTAGGATCAGCTTTAGCCTCCCTAAATCATAACCTTAACCATAAACGTGGGGAAACAAAACATTGAGCTTAGATCAGCATCATGGGGCAATTTCCACGTTCTAATATGTGACAATCATCCACTTCAGCTAAACCCGAGCAAGAACTAGACTCATTCTAATGAGAGTATCTATATTCAATTCAATTCAAAAAGCTGTTATTTTCTGTCAGGGAAAACAGGCAAATAGCCCATTCACATGACATGATATAAGCCTCACATTATAGCCAGAACAGTTGAAGGAGCCATGAAATTGAAATGAGATGTTTGTCTTTGCGAGCATGGCTGGCTGCTGTAGTGTAGTAGGTGTCTGGGGACAGATTTTTAGAATGGCCACCTGCTCCCTGAGTCATTGGTAAACACATTCATTCACTCTGCATCTTATTAATTATCAGTAGCCAGGACCCAGGCACACACTCTTATTGAAGCTTTCCTATGCAGATGATCCTTGTGAGGCACTAATGCACAAAATTCTGTATCTAGATTTAATTATAGATATTTCCTGGTAGGGAACTTCATGTGTGGTGATAAATGGTACTTACAAGACGCATAACAACATAGAACACAAAAACATATAAAGGATTAGAAGCATTCTAATATTATTCTAATGTCACCCCTCTGTCTATCCAGCAGACTCTCTGGGCGGTCCGTTCCCCTCCACCACCCACCGATGCCACCACAAGCCCAAGCGCTGCCTGCCCATCCAGCAGTGTGGTGTTGGGGGCGGGGGCCAGAGGAGAGGCCTGGCCATCAGTCCCCTGCTCTTCCACCCTAACACCAAGGGCTCCCAGATCGCCATGGACCTGGCCCAGAGGACCGTCAAGAGGCAGGCCAGCTTCTGTAACGCTATCACCTTCAGCAACAGACCTATAGAGCTGTATGAGCAGGTCCGAATCAAGGTATGTAGAGAGGGAGATGGATACAACACCACACACAAGGAGGTTTATTTACAGTATGCAAAGTGTCAACATACCATGATAGTATTCTGACAATGGTAGATTCATTTTATTTGATTAATTATACCTTTATTTTAACAGGGAGTCACCATTGAGACCAATGTCTCTTTTACAAGGCAGCCCTGCATATACACAATTTACAAAATAAAGTCAAATACAATGTCAAATAAAATATAATACACATTTTCAAGAAAAACAATCCCATTCCTCAGCAAGGTCCCCAATCAACATGTTGAACTGCCAGAGAGGCACCAGAACATCCCGTTGTAGGGAACTCTGTAGGTTGTTCTTTACATGGTGGGATGCTGACACAAAAGGCTCAAAAGATGATGACACAAGATATGGAGAGCGATACTAACACGGATCTGTACAATAGGTGAGACTAGCTTTGATGTGTACAGTATCTGATGTATACACAGTATATATCATGTAAACACACCAAGTCAGGGTAGTAATGCGAACACACACACACACTTCTAGCTTATGATCTTGTCCAGGTAAATCCTTCTTTCAGTCTAATGCTACTTCCCCCTCCTGTTCCTGTGTCTGCCCAAATAGGCTTAGCAGGTTTCCACCTAGCAAGCCAGCATGTCAACACAGTCAATGCACTGGGTAAACACTGCTTATGGCGCCAGGGCAAGTGGATGTGGCTTTACTGGTTGTTGGTAAAACAGTGATGATTGAATAGCAGCAAGCACAACATTTAATTCAGCCGAGTGCTCTAAAGCTGTGGTTCCTAAACACCCCCCCCCCCCCCCCCCCCCCCCCCCCCAAGGTGGTCGGCAGGGTCCACCCCCTCTCTTAAAAGTTTTAGTAGTAGAATGCACAAGGTGCAATTTCCAAATTGGGTAGTGCGTCATTAGTTTTCCTCTTGTCATGTCAGTCATTGCATACCTTAGAGAGCTATTTATAACTTGTCAGTAATGTCAAAATCAACTAGCCCATGTCAACTAATGAGTCACTCAAATATCACATGAATACACATTAGACATGGGGAAATGTATAGAATTGCAAGAAAATGAGCTTTAAAATTGCTAAATTCTCTCCTCACCCCATGACAAAATGTATAGAACTGCAGGAGATAAGCTTTAAACCTGTAATATTGTCTCTCCGCCAACAAGAGAGGAGTGAATAGTTTGTGTCATAAACAGTGCTTGTGCCCATAGAAATAGACGTGGCGCAGGATGTTCCACAATGCTGGAAGGGGGGCCTGAGTGAAAAAACTCAAGACAACTTAGGCTTTTGTCTTACATAAGTAATATTTAGGTACAGTTCAGAGTTTCCGTTAACTGATATATATATATTTTTTTAAAGGATAAATTGGCTCCGGCCAATTGACCGGGAGAAGAAAAAAAATCCCATTGCGAAAATGCATTTTAGCATATTCATTGATTGAAATACCAGTCGATGTAGTGTGAGATCTGCTGCTACAGCTCATCAAACAGCTGTGTTAAAAACCGTTTCAATGGCCACGATAAAAAGGAGCCACTATTTTTATTTCTCAACTGGTAATTGATTTGCGCTTCCCATTCGCCACTCAAGTACATAGGCAACTAGGGTTTAGTGTGTCACACACCACTTTGTAATGAGCTGGAGGCAGTATGCATTTTGAAAACATATACTTAACTGTTTGAAACCTGAACGTTTTACTACATATTATGAGGCATGTCTTACCTGGCTTCAAAGTAGCCTAGCCAAAATCTAACCAAATGTGCAGGCAATTATTTTATAAAGACTTCCATATACCATTGAAACCAGTAGCCTATTTCTCTCATGTTCTATTGGTTTTCAACTTTCTTTCATTGTCCAGTAGCCAAAGGCACAATCCTAGTCATATTAGCAACCCATGCTAGTTGTTGCATATTAGATCTTAGCAACCCATGCTAGTTGTTGCATATTAGATCTCCCCTATTTCTACATTTCTAACAGATATTTTCATCTCTATCAGTTTGACAACAGTATTTTCCCGCTAATTGCATTATGAAACAAAGAATCACACGTAGTCTACTGCCTTGTGCGCATTGCTGTGCTTATAATGTGAAGAAATAATAGTTTATCAACATTTTACGCAAAATGTTTTGATCTGTTGTATGAGCCTCATGGCTTTAAACCAGTTTTGGGATGTAGCTTAGGCCTTCTGGTTGTATGAATTTGGGATCTATATTACTCCTGTTGTTGGCTGGGGAAAAGTAAATGTAGCAGTTATCTTCAAATTGCGCATCGGAATTCTGTAAGAAGGACGCATGCCATTGCATCCTAGAGTTGCATGTTCTGTTGATAAAAATTACCATAATCTAAATGTGATTTCTGTCACTGTTTGTGGACGCCCTAGGAAAGCAAAGGCTAGCTTTTTCAAACAGAAATGTGCATCCTGTAGCACTAACTCCAAAAAGTTTTGGGACACTGTAAAGTCCATGGAGAATAAGAGCACCTCCTCCCAGCTGCCCACTGCACTGAGGCTAGGAAACACTGTCACCACCGATAAATCTACGATAATCGAGAATTTCAACAAGCATTTTGCTACGGCTGGCCATGCTTTCCACCTGGCTACCCCTACCCCGGCCACCAGCTCTGCACCCTCCGCTGCAACTTGCCCATTCTCCTTCACCCAAATTCAGACAGCTGATGTTCTGAAAGAGCTGCAAAATCTAGACCCCGACAAATCAGCTGGGCTAGACAATCTGGACCCTTTCTTTCTAAAATTAGCCGCCGAAATTGTCGCAACTGTAATTAGCCCACCCAACTAACTCATCCCCATATTGTTATTTATTTTGCTCATTTGCACCCCAGTATCTCTATTTGCACATCATCTTCTGCACATCTATCACTCCAGTGTTAATACTAAATTGTAATTATTTTGCACTATGGCCTATTTATTGCCTTACCTCCATTATTTACCACATTTGAACACACTGTATATAGATTTTCTATTGTGTTTTTGACTGTACGTTTTGTTTATCCCATGTAACTCTGTGTTGTTATTGTTTTTATCGCACTGCTTTGCTTTATCTTGGCTAGGTCTCAGTTGTAAATGAGAACTTGTTCTCAACTGGCTTACCTGGTTAAATAAAGGTGAAATAAAATAAAGAAAATAATCAGGTTACGTACCCAATGCATATTGGTCCGGTAAATGTCTTAAATGTCTGGTAAATTAAAATGCTGTTGGTCAAATGTCTGCCGCCATATTTTACTAACAGAAACCCTGGTACAGTTATACAACCAAGACAAACTAAGCAAACCAGTCACTCAACAAACCAAACAGGCCCATTACTTGCTTTCTTTTGCAACCTGTCAGCATTGTATAGGCCTAGGTCACAAAATGGAATCTCATTGACAAACAATACACAAAGGGAACCCTTTACTTCAAGGCAACATTTAGACTTCCTTGTAAAGTACAATCCTAGACCTTACACTCTTATACTACTACAAACTGTTATAAGACCATCAACCTATCATAGTCTGTCCTCCTTCCACAGATCACTAAGAAGCAGTGTTGCTGGAGCGGAGCTCTCCGTCTGGGCTTCACGGCTAAAGACCCGTCCCGTATCAACCCAGACAGCCTTCCCAAGTATGCCTGTCCTGACCTGGTCTCCCAGAGTGGCTTCTGGGCCAAGGCTTTACCTGAGGAGTTCGCCAATGAAGGGAACGTCATCGCCTTCTGGGTGGACAAGAAGGGCCGGGTCTTCTATAGAATCAATGAGTCCAACCCGATGTTATTCTTCAGTGGGGTGAGAACAGGAGAACCGCTGTGGGCACTGATAGATGTCTATGGGTTGACCCGTGGAGTGCAACTGCTAGGTATGTTAAGAAAGCATGCATGCACACCTACACACACATCTCCATAGCATTCCTCACTTCTAGCTTCTTGGTAAGGTGATGGACAATGAGAGAATTAATTGGTACAGTTATGGGATGTGGTGACCACACATGCCTTTCGATGATGGCTTTACAGTGTGCACCATGGTCATCCAGAATATACATATTTTTGTAGTATTGCATTTTGTCCACTCAAAAGTCATATTAGGTATTGTAACATGTTTACCGACTGTAAACATACAGTGTCTGCTGACTGGGAATGAAATGTATTTTCTTAAGGTGGATGAGGTTAGTGATAGTTATTCTAACCTAATGTAAACCACTCTAAGATCTGATAACAAGCTCTGTACAAATGCTACCTATATATGACCAACATTTGGCCCTAGTATGTTTGCACCACTATAGCACATGGGGCTGCAAAATAACTGCCCTGCTGTGGATTATTGAGGCATGCTATGCAGCTTAGCATACATACCATAGAGATAGACATAGCATACGATAGCCTAGCATTAGCCAAGGCTTAGCATACATACCATACAGATAGACATAGCATATGATAGCCTAGCGTTAGCCAAGGCTTAGCATACATACCTTAGAGATAGACATATCATACGATAACCTAGCGTTAACCAAGGCTTTGATGTACCCAGGGCCTATGGCATACTGTGCATGTTTCTGTTCTCTAGGGATTCAATGTGTCAATGTTGTCATCCCCCCTTATGTTAAAAATAGACAAGGGGGTTGGTCACATGTTCCATAGATAGCCCATTTGATCCTAATTGCGAGCCATGCCAATTGACAGGAGGACATCGGTATCTCCTGTCTCGGGTAGCAGAGGGGTGGGATGTTTTGTGTTCACCGTGTGATGCGGGAGTCGTTTTATCTGAAGCACCCTCCCCAGTCCCCCAGCACTCATAGTCTTGACGGGAGGCAGCGATGACAAGTAGCGATAGAAACCTAGCTGTATTCCTCGACAGACTAGCATGGACTCCTGAGAGTAGCAACGTCAGACAACGGGGCCACAATTCTTTGGCCCAAAGTTCACATTGTCGTCTCGCATTACCGTGACGCCGGGAAGCAAGAATAGCATCGGGGGAAGAGAAAAAAGTTAAGAAAACAAACAAAAAAATATTAAAATGTCAAAAAACATGTGTGTTCCTTTAGCTAAAAGTATATTTTCCTACAATGCTTGGACAGTTTGAACTCTCTTCTATAAGTCACTTGGGGAGATCCCTGGTGTCTTGGTAAACCGTATGCTGCTCGGAGCACTGTTACAATCGCTCTCTTCAGCCCTAGTTAAATCAAAACACAGCCTTTTACTGTCAGGCTATAGCCAGGGCAGCCTAGAGTGCAGGGCTCCTATAGGTCCTCATGGAGCCTTCTGACTAACATCTGCCCTCAACATACTGGTCGCTTACATCTGAACTGTAATAGTCCTACATTTTCCCTCCCTAGATGTTTAAAAAAAAAAATACTTTGGGAAAGCTTTTATTTTCCTGCTTTAGCTTTCCACCTACATCCACAGCTTTAGGAGAAACATATACATCATGCTTACAATAAAACCAGCATCCTCTTATCTCTCTGTATACATAGACATGTAGCAGTCCAGTTATTGTGTTTCTCTTCATTACTGTAGGCCTATACATTCTTATTTAGGTACAGTAATCTCTTATAAGGATGGACATGGAACATTCTATGGTCGCCTTATTATGGCTTTGTGAAATTTCACGTAACAGGAATTAACATGGGGCTTATGTTTGTTTCCACCTACCACACACAAACCTTCACTTCATATTCCATATCAGAGGTGGTATCTGTCAGACCAAATCACTATTTTTCCAAGCCTGCCAACACGCATTATCTTACATATTCTATTCATTTAACTTAATGGCTCCACTGCACTGTACATGCGTCAGGACACGTCTGTTTTGCTGCTACTGTAAAGTTTAACTTGGCCGCTAGGTAATCATCTAAGGTCAGATTTAGCTTTAGCTGATAGTGGTTACGGTTAAGTTAAGGAAATGTTTAACTGATCGCAGGATTCTGCTTATTGGGAATGGCACAGATAGGGAAGTACCTGAGGCATCTGTTAGTCATCCTGGTGTTCTCACAGACTACTGTTACAAACCATACCTAGAATACCTTTTAAACCAGCTCAGTTCTGTTTAATCAAATGTCAACTCCGAAAGATTTATTAAATAAACATAAACGATCCTTAATCACTGAAAAACTAACTCTGTTGCAAGACATGAGCCATTTCGAAACCCATAATTACACACTGTCACACACACACAGAAACCTTTATTTACTATCTTAGCCCCAAAGTGAACACACGTGCCTACTTCTAAAAACAAAGTGTATTTTGTATTTCGATAACATCGGTTAAAGTGCCAAGGTTTGTATTGAGGTCAGCACAGAAGGTTAAGAAGATAGGATGACCCAGATTGCACCCGGCAACAGCTTCGAGGCCTCCGATTGGGTGACGCATGAAAGGTCCCTCGGTAGGTATTGTGTGATAGGCCCCACGCAGGAGATACCTTCCAGACACCTTTTAGGGGTTATTACACATGGCTTAGTGTAATTTAGTGTTTTCCACACCTCCGGTTGGGTGATGAGCATAGTTTAAGATCCAAGCTCTAGCTAATGAAACCCAGACAGGCAGAATTATGGGCTAGATAAATCTAGCTACTCTGGTGTTGGCGGCTTCATTCCTCATTCACACACACATACAGACACACACATTCTACAACAACCATGAGAATGGCGATGCACTGCACTTCCCTGCCTGGCTGTCTATATCTTCTTAACTATCTTCTCTGTCTATATCTTCTTAACTATCTTCTCTGTCTATCTCTTCTTAACTATCTCTTCTTAACTATCGTCTCTGTCTATCTCTTCTTAACTATCTCTTCTAAACTATCTTCTCTGTCTATCTCTTCTTAACTATCTCTTCTTAACGATCTCTTCTTAACTATCTCTTCTTAACTATCTTCTCTGTCTAGCTCTTCTTAACTACCTTCTCTGTCTATCTCTTCTTAACTATCTCTTCTTAACTATCTCTTCTTAACTATCTTCTCTGTCTAGCTCTTCTTAACTACCTTCTCTGTCTATCTCTTCTTAACTATCTCTTCTTAACTGTCTCTTCTTAACTATCTTCTCTGTCTATCTCTTCTTAACTATCTCTTCTTAACGATCTCTTCTTAACTATATTCTCTGTCTAGCTCTTCTTAACTACCTTCTCTGTCTCTCTTCTTAACTATCTTCTCTGTCTATCTCTTCTTAACTATCGTCTCTGTCTATCTCTTCTTAACTATCTCTTCTTAACTATCGTCTCTGTCTATCTCTTCTCTGTCTATCTCTTCTTAACTATCTTCTCTGTCTATATCTTCTTAACTATCTTCTCTGTCTAGCTCTTCTTAACTACCTTCTCTGTCTATCTCTTCTTAACTATCTCTTCTTAACTATCTCTTCTTAACTATCTTCTCTGTCTAGCTCTTCTTAACTACCTTCTCTGTCTATCTCTTCTTAACTATCTCTTCTTAACTGTCTCTTCTTAACTATCTTCTCTGTCTATCTCTTCTTAACTATCTCTTCTTAACGATCTCTTAACTATATTCTCTGTCTAGCTCTTCTTAACTACCTTCTCTGTCTCTCTTCTTAACTATCTTCTCTGTCTATCTCTTCTTAACTATCGTCTCTGTCTATCTCTTCTTAACTATCTCTTCTTAACTATCGTCTCTGTCTATCTCTTCTCTGTCTATCTCTTCTTAACTATCTTCTCTGTCTATATCTTCTTAACTATCTTCTCTGTCTATCTCTTCTTAACTAAACAAGCAAAGTTGACGAGAGCATTGCAGCCAACGTCCAATGGGCAGAACTTAACGTGTACTGGGTCGTTCCACGAAATGAGTGCCTTTTGCGTTCCTTTGATGTGTTAAGTAGAAATGATGCACCAATATTGAATTTTACTCACCATCACAATTTAAATTATATCACTAAGGGAGTACCCCAAGGCTCGATCCTAGGCCCCACGCTCTTCTCAATTTACATCAACAATATAGCTCAGGCAGTAGGAAGCTCTCTCATCCATTTATATATATACACAGCTGGCCCCTCTCCGGATTTTGTGTTAAAGCTTTCTTAGTGTCCAACAAGCTTTCTCTGCCCTTAACCTTGTTCTGAACACCTCCAAAACAAAGGTCATGTGGTTTGGTAAGAAGAATGCTCCTCTCCCCACTGGTGTGATTACTACCTCTGAGAGTTTAGAGTTTGAGGTAGTCACCTCATACAAGTACTTGGGAGTATGGCTAGACAGTACACTGTCCTTCTCTCAGCACATATCAAAGCTTTAGGCTAAGGTTAAATCTAGACTTGGTTTCCTATATCTTAATCGCTCCTCTTTCACCCCAGCTGCCAAACTAACCCTGATTCAGATGACCATCCTACCCATGCTAGATTACAGAGACGTAATTTATAGATTGGCAGATAAGGGTGCTCTCGAGCGGCTAGATGTTCTTTACCATTCGGCCATCAGATTTGCCACCAATGCTCCTTATAGGACACATCACTGCACTCTATATTCCTCTGTAAACTGGTCATCTCTGTATACCCTCTCTGTATACCCGTCGCAAGACCCACTGGTTGATGCTTATTTACAAAACCCTCTTAGGCCTCACTCCCCCCTATCTGAGATACCTACTGCAGCCCTCATCCTCCACATTCAATTCCAGTTCTGCCAGTCACATTCTGTTAAAGGCCCCCAAGCACATACATCCCTGGGTCGCTCCCCTTTCCAGTTCGCTGCAGCTAGCGACTGGAATGAGCTGCAAAAAACCCTCAAACTAGACAGTTTTATCTCCATCTCTTCATTCAAAGACTCAATCATGGACACTCTTACTGACAGTTGTGGCTGCTTCGCGTGATGTATTGTTGTTTCTACCTTCTTGCCCTTTGTGCTGTTGTCTGTGCCCAATAATGTTTG